TGCATTCAACAGCAGATTTGAATGCGCATGGGAAACTAGTCATGATAAATTTGGTAAATCACCTCTCTGCAGTTTCTACACTCAGAATACTTCCTGTTGGTTTTTCCTTTAATTTGCCACCCGTCTATATATAGTGCATCTGATTTTTTATTTTGACATAAGTTTGATTTAAAAAACAGATCCCATCTAAAATGAAACTATACACTAACAAAAAAAGGATACTGCTTGTCGTTATGAATTCTTTAAAAAAATAATATCAACATAGCTTATGTAAAACACATCAGTGAGTTTTCTTTCTTATGTTCTAAGTCATTCATAAGACTTATGACTACTAATAATATTTTTTGTTCCAGCTGCTTCCTGATACTAATCAGATTAGAGAAGATAAATGAATGCAGGCGTTCTAAAGCAGCATTATCCATCGTTCCATGAGATGTCGGCGACCAAAAAATACACGACTCCTAATAAGTATAAAAACAAGTGACAGCTGTTAATTTCAAACTCCAACAAAGATGTGAAACAAATATTAACATTGATGCAAAATGCACAGATTAGCCACAATTCAAAACCAGGTCAAGCGCAAAACGCTGATAAACTCTCAAAAGGAACACATTACATCCCCCTAAACTTTGTTTCAGACTTGGTGCCACCCCTATGCCCTGATTGGAAATTGCATCGCTAAGTAGGACGATTTACCCCAATTGCAAAATCTTTAAGAAATCAGAGGCTGGAAACATCAGTATTTGGACAAGGAAACTCCCTGCTCATGGCTGGACACCAACCATGCTCCAGATGCCGGTGGGAGGATGAACAAACTTTGATCACCATCAGAGCTTCTTCACTTAGGGAGCAATGAGCACTCTTGTGACAGTGGGTGATTTCTTCTGACAGCAGTCTGACGCCAATCAAAGGTTTTTTTTTATCCCAGAATATAGGCAAACATGTGCCCGTTGTCATCCCAAGCACAAGCCTTAAAAAAAAAAAAACAACCTTTTTCCATATACTGATGTCTTCATCCAGTGAATGCATTGGAGGGATTCAACAAGAAAGTGGAAAGTTACTTTGACACTATTGGACTACCCACAGAATCCAAAGGATTGCCAAAACTAATGGCTCCACATTTATGTCAGAATATAGGCAAGCTGGTTTCAATTGTATGGCTAATCAGTGTCTATACATGCTTTCTCGATTGGTCCGAAGCCTAGGTTAGACAAAACGTTGTTTAAAATGATTCAGATTATTCTGCACATGATGATCAGCACATTGTTGTGTGAGAGGTAACAAGTGTCACAGAGATGCAATCTTTAATACTAATAATATAGTAATATAATCTAATAATGTGCAGAGGAGTCAAATGAAAACTGTGTTCTTTTTTATAAAATCTTAACCTATGTAATTGTTGAAAAATAACCTTAATATTCAGATGCCATTAAGCTTTTTTATATCAACAAAATTAGACAAGCAATTTTTTAAAATCTATAACACACATAAGGTGTTCTAAGATGCCTTTAATTTTAACAACTTAATTGATAAAGACCAGCAGAGATGGTACTTTGAATAAAACTGACAGCAAGAATTTATTTTCTTTTACTGTATATCTTTTCGCCTGTCTGTTGTTTTGTCCTTCTCTTTTTCCTGTTTCACAATTAACAACCTAAAGGACAGCGTACAGCGAGGATCAACATGCTTAGCTAAGGCCAGTGTGCTGCATGGGATAATGTCATTTCCTGCTGCTCAGATTAGTTGATGTTCCTATCAGAATATCGTTTTGTCAAAAGTGGTTGAGTCTGATCTAGGCTTCAGCACCAGTAAAGCAACAGGATGCTCGTAATTCCCAAGGATCCATAAATGAAAACACTCCACTCCGCAGAGGACATTCAAGTGTGTTGGACCTGACTAAGAGATCAAACGTAGAAAGGAAGCAAACAAATTAACAACAGTTCTCAGACACTCCATCAGTCACAGAAAACAGGCAAACAGAAAAAAAAAATGATGGCGTGAGAGAGATATCTGGAAGGAAAATGAGAACATGTGAAGGAAGAGCAGATGACGTTAGTCGAAATGTAAAAATAGAAATTGCAATCAGTGTGATCAGAAATCGGTCAGAGAATGGGGAGAGTGAGTCAGATATCCGAGGACGTTTCCTGCAGATTGCACAGGGGGAAGGGAAGACAGTCAGTCAGTTTTTATACGGCAACATTAGAACAAACAAGAGACACAGAACAACACACATTAACCCAGACGCACAAAACTTACTCCAACAAAAATACTACAAGCCTATTCAAGGGTTTTTCCAATTGTGGCAAGCATTTGTAATCACTACTAAGCATCTGGTGTACCGTGTCGAAATGGGAGGCTAAACACAAGCACCGAGGGGACCAAAGGATCAAGCTATTACTCATTTTCACGACCTGGCCATCACTGTCACATAGAGCTAAAGGATTACAGGCATCATTAGCACGTGTGAAAATATTAGCAATCAGGATTATGGAAGCTCACTGGGGCACAACTACAGTTTTACAAGATCATGTAAAGACAACAACTTTGTTGTTGTGTTTATTATTTCAATTTCGCCAGCTTGTTGAAAGGTGTCCTAATAAAGAAATATCGTAGCTTTTAAGCTGCCTGATTAAAGCAATTACTGGAGCCAATTCATAGTGAGACCCAGTGCCAAGTGAAAAAAAAAATTTACATCCTTGGCTGGAGTATGAAGATGATACTGCTAATGAGGGCAGTCATGACAAGAACTGAAATTTAAAGCCAAAGAAAGCCAAAAGGATGGGTTAGGGTTGGAAATGTTGGAAATTTGTTGCAAAAGCCTTTTACAAAGAGTTGAAACACTAAATGATACATTTGTGGTTACATAAACTCTAGATACGTCCTGAAATGTATTCATATAAATTGGATTCAGATTTGTTTTTAAACGTAAACAAATAAAATAAATAAAACGTTATGTATTTGCTGGGTGCTGTTTTGGTGGGACGGGGAGATTTTGAAGAGCTTTAGCTGCTGGTCAGAATGAGAACATTGCCTGTTGATCATCTTAACGAGGTTTTAAGACTTTAAAACATCCTCTCAAGTCTTGTGTCCCGGCAAATCCGGGTGATCCTAAGCCCCTGGACCACTGTAATGTTTTTAATCACAAATCTACATGTTTGGCATATGATCTATTTTATCTGAAAACTAGGAAAATCTATGACTGTCAGGTCAGAATGTTGTCGTAAGAGTTTTTTTTCTGGTGCGGAAAAGTTAATCTTCCTTTGAAATTGCCTCTCCGCATTAGTCCAACCCTACAAAATGATGTGACGCATGTTGATTTTACTTTGGGATAGGGAAGACAGAGGATTTGACGGAGGGAAGCAAAAATAAGGGGAAGCTGTCTCTAAATAAGGAGATGCTGTCTGGTTTTGGGGTAGGGTTTGAGTGGGAAAGGCGGCTGAATCACACTGGGAGGACACTAAACACTTACCAGGGCAGTTGAGATAGGAAACTTTCTGTGTTCTTGGTCCTAATCTGGTTGGGCATGGACCTTGAGAAGCAAAACAGATGGGACTACAGAAGTGCATCTTTGATACTGCTGAGAATGAAGTGAGGACCTGATTGTGTGTTTGTTATGTGGGCTTCGCGAGCACAGGCTCCAAGGTTGGAAGTTTAATTTTCACCAGACAACAGTGGTTGCGCTCGCTTCCTTGATGTAAGACGAAATCAAAAGACAATCATAGCAGTGAGAAAAAACATGAGAGCACCTTGAGGCTAATCCTTCGCTTAAGCTCTGGGGTAACGCAGCAGGACACTGAATCGATACCTAACGATAAGGCTTGAGGAAAAAAAACAAAACAAGAAAAAAAAATCTAAAACATGAGCAGCTAAGAGTTTTACGTGTGAGCTGCAGGATTTGTCTTTGTTCAATAGTTTGGAATCAAATGACCATCATTGCTTGTCCCATCTTTAATTACGGGTCCTTAAAAACCTCACAAAGGTTAACCTTTCGGTCGTAATTAGTTTCACCATCTAATGACATTCGCAGGAACCATCTGATTCAATGCTACGAGGGATACAGGTATAGAACAGGTATAGAGGGAATGAACAAAGTGGAACAGAGGCACTTACGGAATACTGTGGTAGAATAAATCTGCATTATTTCCATCGAGCTTAATTAGCTAATTTCATCTGTTTCAAAGCTGGTATGCATTTAAAGACATGAACTAACATGAAATACAATAATCCTACCTCTCTGACTCTAATAATTATAGTTCCACCTGATTAGTGATGCTGGCAACTCGTCTAAATCTTTGCCATTAATCAGAAACTAAAGGTTACAAGGGGAGCTTTCTTTCACAAATTGCGAATCAAAATGGCAGCTTAAAGGACAAAGGGGAATTTCCATACAAAAGTCAGTTTAAAGATTGTTTGGGAGCCGGATGGCAATGAATATTTTAGCATCAGAGGCGGAGGCAAAATGTTAAAACTATCTCTTTTGATGAAATATTACCTTGTTGACTTATGAGAGAAGCCATCCTGTTCTGTTACATAATGAAACATCTGTTAGCATATTTCAACACCTGTTGTATAGTCGTATATTAAGCCGTCAAGGTGAGCTGTGCTTTTCGCCTGATATACTTCTCAGTACAAGATGAAACTCCCGCTTGCCATCACAGAGATCAGCATGACTTCTTCTGCACCCCTACCCCCCCATTCTGCTACCTCATAACCAGGCTCGTCGATCCACCAGAAACATGGCGAGCACATCAATAATGAGGGGAGTGCAGCGTAGGAGCAGAGGGTTTTACAGGTCATATTTCATGGAAAGTTCACTGCGTGACACAGATTGAAGAAGAGACAGAGGAAAAAAGGGGTGCTGGAAGGTGTTGCGGACAAAAAGAGCACAATGACTGGACGAGGCAGGGGAGAAATGGGACTGAGGTATAACACAGAGAAGAGACAGAGGGCAGAGAGGAAGGCAGAAACTGAGGATGGGGGAAAAAGAGCAGGAAGGGTTTTCAATTCATGACAGAGGGGTCATACTTACTGTAGGGAACACACTCATACTGGACCTCCAGGTACTTGTAGGTCCCTGGGCAGGGGTCAGGGAAGACATCTAAACCCGTGATCACAATGCACTGGGTCCGATTGTTGCACCTTGAAAAATATGAGATAAAACATAGAGATATTGATAACTTATAAGGAAAGGTAATGAATAAAAAAATTCTAAAGGAATTTCTTCTTTTCTTTGCCCAAAAACAAAACTATTCACATGAATTTACAAAGCACTAAACGCTCCGCCATAAAAAAAAATAATTAAACTATAGACATCATTCAGCAAAGCTTTTGAATACAAAGAAAAAGAAACATCTACATGTTTACAATGCAAGAAAATTCCTACGTGCTTTGTAAATGTGCCATTTGTTTGCAAGGAGATATCGCCAATAATCACATTCAAAGAATATGCAACCTCTGGTGGTCATGAGAGCAACTGCATAAAGCGAATAAAACTGAAATTCATGTTTTTTTTTCCAAGGGCAGAATCACAGCTTTGTAGAAACCAATGTATTTAAGCTCTAAACACGATTCCTGTCTAACCTTGACCTGAGTAATAATTGCTTTGACTTGGAACATCGTGCAAGTCAAGGCAAGACGGGAGAGGAAAATGTCTTCTTGATGAGCTCTGTGTTTATTGAGGAATCGAGAACAGGAGCGATGGATTTTAGGAAAATAAATATGCTGGCGGCAGTCCAAATAAAGATTTGTAATCATTTGTAAGTCTTGTAAATGTATCTAGAATGACGACCTGTTAACCGGAGTACAAAGAACAGTTGTCTGTCAGGGTGTTCATAGTCCATTTTATGGATGTGACATATGCTGGGACTTAACAGAGACAATTGAGTTAAACATTGCCACTACGATTGATAAGAAATAGAAAAACAGTAGCAACCTGTTCCCGGAGTTGAATGCAAATGAATAATTTAAGAACTTTCCATTTTTTGTTTATATATAAGATTTAAAGGAGACATTTTCATCAGTAAGGATCTGGCGATATTTATCAGATGCTACATAGTCATGAGTTCCATGTGTGAATTTAATTGATGATGAATTTAAGAACTTTCCATTTTTTGTTTATATATAAGGTTTAAAGGAAACCTTTTCATCAGTAAGGATCTGGCTGTATATATCAGATGCCAAAAAGTCATGAGTTCCATGTGTGAATTTAATTGATGGTGGCACTGTTGTTTTTTTGTTTTTTTTTATAATTTAAGAAAAGAATACTCTTTGTCTCTTTTAACTTTAACTGTCGGTTGAGGCTGATGTTCCTGAAAACGATCAGGGCCAGACTGTAGATGATCAAAAGATCAGAGCAACATCATTTCCAATACAAGATATATTTGTGTCATCAGCGTAGTGATGTAATGATGTATCTGTTATATTCTGGTCCATGTTGATAACTTACATTATAGAGAGTAGGTCCTAAAATTGAACTTTGGGTAACACCTTTCATGACTTGCTTTGAAAGGCCTATGTCTGAAAGCTACTGACATAAGGCGTCATTATATACACTGTCAAAAGCTTTAGACAGACCTACAGAAAAGGAACAGTAAAGTAGCCGTCCCAGGCTTCCAGAGGATTATTTGATACTTTGTGTACTGTGTGTCCCCTGAAACCAGACTTATTCGGTATAAAAAAGTAGATGGATGGACGACTACATGAAAAAAAAATCCTATTTAATAAAAAAAACATTTACAATATGTTTTTCATTTCACCAGCCCTTTTAAAGCTGTGCCAAGTTAATATCAGACATTGCATGTAACATCTGGAGAGCAGACATTCTAAATTGGTTCTCAGTGTGCTCTGAAGTCCAGAGAGTTGCAGGTGACCCCCTCTAGCTGCGCTGGATTCATGATAATGACATCAATACCCCAAGCAAGTTGTCTTTGTTACCTGAAGGACTTAAAATTCTACTGGCAACGTGAGCAGCCAGATCAATTACTCCATTCTGCCAATTTAGCTGGAACCAGAGCAAATATTTGTTTTTTTCTTATCACAGGACAGTGCACCCATTTGCCAGAGATCATTGGAAAATGTATTACTGGTTGCACTGCCCTGTTTCGTGCTTTTTGGTCTGGACTTTTTTTTGACGGCCAAAGTAATCACCGCTGCTCCTCGTACAAATTTCATCAATACAACATTAAGTAGCTCTGTGGAACAGTTGGTTAATGTTGAAAAGAATGGAATTTAATCCACACAAACGGTCAGATCGGTGCTGGTTTTGGTCACAGATTGTGAACAACCGTATCTGACTGCATGTCGTGACTGCATTCAGCTTACTGCACAAAGCAGTGTCTACACACTTAAAAGGTCCCTGACATCAACTACAAAAGTGGTCAAAAATCTTATCCATGGCAGGGCATGCAGTGAGACATTACCGATGCTTTAAAGCATCAGAAGATTTTCACCTTGCTGCTTTAAAAAAATAAAAACTACAAAGATTCAAGAAGTTACATCAGTACATTTTAGCACAGCAGACATATATGTCTACATACAGTATCTGTGTGAATCAATGTCAAGTAAAAAATCTTGGGGGTGGGATTTCTCATTAATTATGACCTTCACATGTAATAACAGATGGAAATATCAGCATGTTTTAGTTGTTCTTATGGAAATGGATTACTGTTTATATTTTAAAACATGCACCCCATGCTGAGAGCACAATACACAGCTTGTTTTTGTGACTAATATTTCCCGAATCTGCAGCGCTTTCTACATATTAAATGGTCACTTTGACTGTCTGCATTGCTCATGCGTAAGCATATCATGCAGGAGCGACATAAATTACATCGGTTTATCTACCAGGTTTCATTGAGACCAGGAAATTAATGCCCAGTTTATTTCAGGCATTTGAAACAGAATAATACAGAAAAAATAAAAGTACTGACACTAATGAGACACAGAGCTGCCGTCATTACTCAGAGAAAATGTTTCGAACAACAGAGAGAAACATTGTAAAAGCTCATATTTCTTTTAAAACAATGTTGACATAAGTGTTGATAGCTCTTCCTGATATATTGCCCTAATTCTGGAGCTGTGGAACAGGGGCGCCCTGATCTATGGGATTGTGTGACTCTGACTGCCGGCTCATCTGTGAAACCTCAGGCATCTCATGAGACCAATTGAAAAAGCCCTAATGACTTCTTCTATGCATAGTCTTCACCCTCATTTTGAGAGAAAGCATGTAATTGAAATTCCTCCCATAAAAAGTTCAGCATTTGGTTTGGCAGGGTACAGGTCTCAAAGTGCACACTAATTAAATACATTTAAAATATGATATCTCTGACTATCTTTTGATAGTCTGAGGCTATATAATAATTAATCATCTACATAATGAAAATTAAGTTGAAGTGAGCCCTTTCTTCACTTTTCTCTAGAGTGAGCGATTCTACCACTATAAATACTACAATAGCCCAACAGGATTAAACAAAAGCGGGAAAGAGACATTTCTTTTGTCTTACAATTGAAGGGAGAGAATAATTAACTGGTGGGAAAAGGGGGCTCTATGAAGAGATTTTAGGTAAAATTGCTAGAGCTGTTTCCTTCTGGGGCGTTATCTGATTGATGTTTCCGTTTGAACTCATATCAAGGAAAATATACAACACCATCTGCATGAAAAGCACTTTTCACAAAGTAGCTAGTAAAATAAATTAGAATTTGATGTCCTGTCAAAAGGAATGTAATCTAAACAGCGAGAGAATGCGTCTAATGGTTGGGCAGAATCCATTTCTAAAATAAAGCTAAAATAAGTGCGGGATGGGACTTCCGTCCACTCTGATTGCCTCAATCTTTTCCCCTCGGCCCGTTAATCACACTGAAGCATTCCAAATGTAATCCCATCACATGTCTGACCTTTTGGGAGAGGCAGACATCAGTACAATTAGAGTGTCGAAGGAAGTGCTGCTTGGATTGGATGCAAATCTCTCAAAAATTAGCACTCCCAGATAGTGGGAAAGGGTGCCAAAAAGGTAGAGCTGATAAACTGAGAGAGCTTCCGACACCATGTAACCACGTGCAAGTTAACCTTTCTGAATGCCATCACAAACCATGTCAGAGGAATAATTGGACAAGAATATAATGTGCTGGTTGAATAATGAATTGGATAAAATGACTAAACTGATTGCAAACTGATTACAGATTGCAAATCTAACATCAGATATAACATTTCTTTGTGCGGCCTAAAGCCTGCTAAAAACATTCAGGACTTTATTTTCGTATTTGCCAATCACAAGCTTGTCATTTCTAATAGATGTAGGGTCTTTCTAATCCAGGCTTTAGGCGACAAAAAAACATGTGTTGATGATTGTCTAGGTGCTTTACTGTATTTCAAAGTTTTAAGCCTATTTTACTTTATTAAAAGGAATAAATGTAAAATGAAGAATAGCTAGTTCAATACTCTCTATAAACACATAACCATCAACATTTGTATCTTGGACTGGCAAAACATCCATGAATTATTTGCGTTCTGAAATTTTAAAGGGCAATCCCTTTAAAAAGTATTATTTTTCTATCTTACAAAATATCTATGGCTTTTTTTTTAAAGATTTCACTTTTGCAATCATTGGTATTTTTTTTAATGAACTGTTTAATTCCTATTTATCAAAAAGATACAAGAAATGTTCATATCAGTAATGTTATAACTGGGTGTTTTGAAAGCTGGGGTTCAAATCTCAGAGATCAAAAATATATTTCATTTTTTTTGTTAAGCATAAAAGACATTTAGACATTGGAAGTTTTATTGTGGTCAGAATGTTTTTATTCTTTTTTATCAAGTTGTATTAAACAGGTATCTTGAATCGATGAGGTACGTGGAAGTTAAACAAAGGCTGGATAAAAAACACATTTTCAAACACTCACTACAGGTTAATTTAAAAAATAAAACCATGCCGTCTCAGCCTCTGAATTTTCAGTTTGATATAGTCATCAAGGGGCAAACAGAAGCTCGTGACCACACAACGGCCAACATTCAGGGGTCAAATTTGTCATTGTGACATTAAACATTCTCAGAACTCCAGCTTGAATTGAAATTTTCCCAATGCGTCAGTTGGCTGGAAATATAACTTAATCATGAGCAAACACGCTAACTTGTCTCAATCGAT